AGAACAGCTAAGGGAAGAGAGGCCGATGGTATACGGTTTTGTAGAAACACATCTCAGGGACATGGAACAACCTCCGAACAATCCGGACTACGCGTGGGAATAATGTATTAGAACAGAAGGCAGCAGAAAGGGGGGTGGTATTGGGGCATTCATTCATAAAAGTACAGACTGGCAGGGGTCAAGCAGGAGTGCAAGGAACATTTATGGCTAAAAGGAAAAGCGGCAGGTCAAATAACACTCCTTGGTTTCGTGTACTTGTGGACGGGAGCAAAGGCCAGAGAGGAAAACCAGGCAATGGTAGAGTGTATATCAAAGGACATTCAGGAGTTAGGAAGAGAGTGCGAGATAATTATACTAGGAGACATGAATGCGCACATAGAAGATATAGATGGGTATACCGACCTGACAGGCAAAATGATCATGGATATGTGTGAAGGCTGATTTGATCATTTGCAACAGTACCGATAAGTGTGAAGGGCAAATAACATGGGAGGTAGGATGGCTTCAGTCGACGATAGATTATGCGCTGATGTCACATAGGATGTATAATAAGCTCAGGGGAATGCACATAGATGAAGGTGGCTCCAGAAGTCTGGGTAGTGATCACAAACGTATCAAGCTAAGTTTTGGAAGAGCAGTGAAAGTGGGAAGGAGACAAGATGAGCAACTATAGGAAAATTTTTATCCAAAAAGGCAAATTGAAATAGCCACTAAAACAATTGAGAAGTAATCACGGAGGATAATAAGACAGTGTGGACATACACGAATCTAATTAGACAGTTTGAGCTAGAGCTTGCTAAGACGCGGGACAAGTCACCCCGAAAAAGAAGACACAAACCCAAAAGTTGGTGGGATGAGGAAGTTAAGGGAGCCATAGCAAAACGTCAGGAAGCCTCTAGGGAACACAGACATGCTAAGCAGCGGGGTGAACCGACAGATGATGTTGAAAGAAAAATGGGAAACCTTTCTAAGCTGTAGAAGGATGCATCCCATCTGATCAATGAAAAGATTAGAAGAAAGGGAGCTCAGTGGCTGGCAGAAGTACATAAAAAAGATAGAAAGGCAGCTGCAAAATTTTGTAACCATCTAAACTTCCTAAGAAATGAGACGAGCCTAAAGCAGAGTTTTATAACTACAGCCCAAGGTGCTAGGCTAGAAGGGGACAAAGCTATTGAATATATAAGAACAAGGGTGACAGTAAAATTCCAACAAAGAAGTACTTTATGCACCACAAAAGACAAGGACGAATCATGTGGTGCAATGGCTTCATTTTCACAACGAGAGTTGGAAAGGGCTGAGAAAAGGGTTTTTAGTAGTACATCAACAGGCTCCGGATGGCATTTCAATTAGGCTGATAAAGACATTAGGTCCGAAGTCTAAGCAGGCTTTGAGAGAGGCAGTGAGCACAATAATAATCGATGGTGAAGTTCCCGATGGATGGAAACTTAGCAGGATGAGCATGATCTATAAAGGAAAGGAGGACAAAGCTGACATAAACAACTACCGTCCTATAACAGTGACAGTGGTCTACAGGCTGGCAATGCCGATTATAAAGGAAAGACTGCAGGCATGGATAGAGGATGAAGGGGTGCTGGGAGAACTGCAGAATGGGTTTCGGAAACACAGGAGGTTGGAAGACAATCTGTTCTCACTGACGCAGTGCATCGAAATAGCAGAAAAGGAACACAGACCCCTGTGGCTTGCATTTTTGAATATCAAGGGAGCGTACGATAGTGTGGTTCAAGAGGAATTGTGGGGAATACTGGACACACTAGGCGTGGAACATGTAGTCACTAATCTTTTAAAGGGTATCTATAAAAGTAACAAGGTAGTTATAAAGGGGCCAAAACAGGTATCTAAGCCTGCAGAGGTAAAACGAGGGCTCAGGCAGGGGTGCCCCCTGTCACCCTTATTATTTATGATGTACCTACAAGGATTAGGGCAAAATTAGAGGGAAGTGGACTGGGCTTCAACCTCTCTTTAATCAAACAAGGAAAACTTATTGATCAGGCACTACCAGCAATAATGTATGCTGATGATATAGTGATAATGGCCAACAACAAAGAAGATTTGCAGAGATTGATGGACATCTGCGGTAATGAGGGAGATAGGTTAGATTTTAGATTCAGTAAGGAAAAATCAGCAGTCATGATTTTCAATGACAACGAAGGTAGTGAGCTTAGAATACAGGAGGTCACACTAGAGATGAAAGATAAATACAAATATCTGGGCGTATGGATAAGCAATGGGACCGAGTATCTGAGAGAACACGAGATATACGTGACGACTAAAGGTAACAGGAATGCAGCAGTCATGAAAAATAGGGCACTATAGAATTACAATAGGTATGATGTGAGAGGAATATGGAAAGGGGTCATGGTTCCTTGGCTGACGTTCGGCAATGCGGTCTTGTGCATGAGATCAGAAGTTCAATGAAGATTAAAAATTAAGCAACGTGGAATAGGTAGGCTTGCTTTAGGAGCTCACGGGAATACACCAAATCAGGGAGTACAAGGTGATATGGGATGGACATCATTTGAGGGCAGGGAAGCTAGCAGCAAGATAAAGTTTGAGAAGCGATTGAGAGATATGGGGGAGAAGCGTTGGGCTAGGAAGGTTTTCAGCTACTTGTACATGAAGAATGTCGATACAAAATGGAGGAAGCGAACCAAGAAGTTGAATGGTAAATACTTAGAAAACAGCAGGTGGCCAAACCAAAAAGAACTATCGGTTAAGAAGAAAGTGAAGGAAACGGAGACTGACATGTGGAGAATGGGCATGATTAAGAAGTCCGCACTAGAGATCTATCGAACTTTTAAGCAGGAAATCGCCAAGGAAAGGATCTATGATAATACTCGGGGTAGTTCTCTACTGTTTGAGGTCAGGACGGGAGTACTGCGAACCAAGACATATCGGGCCAAATACGAAGGGGTAGACACAGTATGCAGTGCGTGTGGAGAGGAAGAAGATACTGCCGAACACTTGATAATGTTCTGTAAAGGGCTTCACCCTATAGTTAAGGATGATGGCGCAGAGTTTTTCAAAGCACTGGGGTTTAGGGACCGGGAGGGCAAAATAGACTTTAATCGGGTAGACTTAACTAGAAGGAGGTTATCTGATTGGTGGCTAAAGTCAAGGCACGAGTGCAAATTAAACTCTTCACTGTAAAGTACGAATCCTCAAACTCACTTTTTACGGAAAAAAAATAAATATAGTTTTTGGTTCATTAAGTATTACGGCTTGGTGGTGCTAGCCACGGCCCGATCTAAAGGGTACAGCCATATCCATCCATCCATCCATCGAGAGGAGGAAAGAGCCGAACGTTATCTGTACGCGCCTTTGGGTGGAATGTCCACACTCAAATTATTTTTCTGACAGTGTGGTTATTGCTGCTTGTCCATCTGTGGCCAAGAGATACCTCCTGAAAGGCCCATTGATTTGTCGATAGCGTGACTTACACCATGTTATTTGAAGGATATGGGAGCTTCGAAACAATCGCACGCACCCTCGGTGCTATTTCTTAACGTTCACCTCATGAATACAAAATAAACATGTTTGATACTTCAAATACATATGTTCAGGGGGGTGAAATTTCGCCAGACCATGTTTCATTGGATAGTGGCCTGAGAAGCTTTGACCCCCTTCCCCTGTATCTGTAATCTTCAATATAATTATTTTTAGCAACTTCATCATCAACTTCACTTGTGGAGTTTTTTGGGATACTAATAATAATTACTATAAATTGTGGGAGTAATGCATAAAGATTTTTAACATATTACGGCTGCATGGATATGTGCACGAATATTTCGACGCCCTCTCCGCGCAAATGCTCAGGCATAGTCTACGGGCACACAAGTAAACATTGACTTCACTTCAAATGATACAACCTTGTCGTCATTATGGCGCACACTTTTTCATTGCTCAATAAAAGGGGGGGAGTTGTAGTGAGCTACGGGACAGTTCGCACAGCAGTGAGCGTGTGCAGTCCATAATTGTCCGGCTGTACTAGGACGTCGGGCTTGTGATATCCACCCGCACACTGTGCCACCTGGCCCATAGATAGCCTAAGGCCCATGCTAACATTTTTATTGTGATCAACGAGGCCATACGGGCCCAAAACGCCAATTTTTGTACGTTTTAATTTTCATCTTGGCGAGACTATGGTTATTGCACAAGTGGAAGCGCAGTCACACAAAGTGCCGTGCAGTCGCACGCCACAGAGTGCTCAATGAGATGACCCTAATAGTTATCGCATGCGGCATCACCTCTATAGAGACAGCACAGTGTCACTGCGGACGACGATCTTTCCTTGTTCCGAGGTGGCGGACCTTTTATAGCACCGGCACGAGCATAGGACCCATCACCCAGCGGCCTGCTCACGTCAAGGAGAAAACACCTTGATGTCTCAGGTGCAGTGTGGTGGCCACAACACTCTGTCAAAGACGTTTAAACGGGTGGTTTGGGTGGCACTGTCGCAAGTGGCATGAGTCGTTTGATTGGCCAGCACAATTTGTAGCTGTTCTCCCATCTACGAATCTAGGGAAGAGAGACTCATTATGAGCAACCGTCGTGGGCTAGTTGAAGCTTTTCGACATGAGATCGCCGTGGCATAGCAACATCATTTTCTTTTAATCATAAGACCTTCCTAATGTAAATAAACGCCTGTTATCTTTCCTCCATACAATCGCTTTCCTTCCAGCAATATGGGATAAAAATGTCCGGTAAAGGAGGCCAGCTACCTGCGACGAGCTCGGCCGGACCCAAGCTGCAACAACTGGTAGTAGTGGTGAGGGGCTGTGTAATGATAACAGCAAAACCTAAACACTCTATCTTCAAGTTAGGTTCATTTATTATTTATCTAGTTTGTTTGTGCAGAAGTTTTGAGCCACTATATGGGCATATGCGCATTACTAATTTTACTAGGCACCTACACACTGCGTCATCAATTGCGGTGTTTTGAGCTGATGTGGCTCTTCTAATGTACCTGAATATTAATACAGGCCACATACGATACTTGGACCGCAGCACTCAACGTAACGCTGAAGACGGACTCCACAGTGTTAAAGCTACTCCGCAGTGGTACCTACTACCACCTGCGAGTCTTGGTCATCGATCGAGACGGCATGTACAGGGAGCAGGGCGCGAAATATACGCGTTTCAGAACCGCGTGTGGAGGTAGGTAAAGTTTTTCTGTTACTTGTATTTTTGCCTTAAGTCACATTATTTACGTTCCAGAACCACTGCAACCCCCGCAAATGGTGGATATAAACAACAACAGCGTCAGCGAAATTATCGTCAGTTGGAGGGTAAACCTCTTCTCTTCAATTTTATAAGTACATATGAGTTTATCTATCATTATCTGAACGTATATTTAGTTGCCTAGTTTCACAGTCTGTGGAAAGTGAAAAATTGTTGCTACTATATGCGCTTAAAAGAAGTGCCCCTCTTCTTTTTTAAAACTTTATTGTCCTTTCCTGACTCTTCTTTCATTCCTGACTTTCTACGTATAAGACTCTCTTTAATTAAAAAGACGCAGTACCACTTTTCGGAGATTCTTATGTTCTCGTTGCCGTCTGCCAAGACAAAAAGAAAACTTAAATTGCCACAAAAACAAAACAAAAAAAAACTCTGAGAATGCTTGAACTTCGCCTTCAAGGGTAGAACGCGATAGCGTAATAGGTATCAGTACTTATCGCCTTCAACCACGCCGCAAGAAAAATAACGTTTCTGCTGATAACGTTGGCTGTTTCGCTTTATCCTGTAGTGACCGCTGCTAGTGAAGTCGTCTATTGACGTCATGCAACACCAAATTTGTTACTTATGAAACTAGAGAAACGACCATGAAGGCACTATGAGCGTAGCAAGTAGCCATGTTTTATATGACATGCACATCATGATTATCATGTTGGGATGTGTCAGTTATCTTCGACGTTCATTAATGTGACTTACATAAGACGCATGCCACGTTAGGCTCTGTCCCCTATGTTTGTCTTGCAATCAAGTCATACTATAAATGTTTTACAATACATGATGATAATGAAATCAGCGCAAGAGCAGCAAGTTCATGAAATGTAAATCATGACATTCATGACATACATGTCAAGATTTATGACTAGTCACACTCGTCATACAGTCATGTGATGTCATACCACTTTTGGTATCGATACCTTTATCGAAATGGCCAGGAGAGCTAAAAATCATGGGCGGCTGAATAGATAGATTAGATAGATAGATTAGATAGATAGATTAGATAGATAGATTAGATAGATAGATAGTAGATTAGATAGATAGATTAGATAGATAGATTAGATAGATAGATTAGATAGATAGATTAGATAGATAGATAGATAGATAGATTAGATAGATAGATTAGATAGATAGATATAGATAGATAGATAGATAGATAGATAGATAGATAGATAGAGATAGATAGATAGATAGATAGATAGAGAGATAGATAGATAGATGCTTAAAGTGCGTGCAGTACGCAGTAAAATGTTTTGTAAAAAAAAAACCACATGGACATCTAATTCACTTTTTACCTACGCTTTACTTTCCCCTGACGGCACTCCAGGATTTTGCATTCGTTGCCCATTTGCTCCCTTTGCACACCCCTTTGCCCCTCTACCCTACATACACAGACACCCAGATCTCCAAGGAGGTGCTCCAAGTCATTGGGCACACTGTGCTTTTTTTAGAAAATCAGGTGCAAACGTCGCCCGCCCCGTCCTCAGCTATAGACGCCACTCTCGTGTTCTTCCCTCGGCTCTTCGCACCTTTATTTTCCCATGCACAACTCATTTTATGTGCTGTGACATGCTCCCGTTAAAGGTTTCAGAAAGAGAGATTTTTTTCTCTCCGCCTGCTCAAACCGCTCGCGTCGTGTCAGTGTGGTGGCGTAAGGTGGCCGGCGCGTCTGATGTTGTGCTGCTAATGCTTTCTTCCCGGAAATTCGTTAAACTTGAAGAGTAGGCTGCTCCTACAGTGTTTCAAGAGGTTAATTTCGCCTGGAAACTTGTACAATAGTTTAAACTGTACACAAGAGCAAAAGTTCAGGTTCAGAAGTGTTCATATTAGCACCGATGTTGAATATAGGCATTTATGGGCCTTGACGAGAATTTGGGCATGAACACCCATAACACGCATTTGTAGGCACTATAACACACTCTAAAAGCCCTCCTTAACATTTAATTCGGGTTCATATATAAAGGTGTTACGATAAAAACACAAAAAACAATGTAGACATTTGCCTAAAATGCGGTCTCTAACATAACCCTCTTTTGATATATTTTTTTACTTGAAGTGCACTACGCCACAGTTCTTTTCGCGAATTGGCGAAGTATCCGCTGTGCTTCTGTATAAGCTGCCACGCGCGTCTGCCTAGTGGCACATTTTATGATGGCTGGCATCGTTAGACTGGTTAAACCACCAGCCATTGTGCAGTGAACACATGTTCATTCCCGAGGCGATTCTACAGTTCGGTTGAGAGACATTACGCGCATTAAGGAAGGTCGACTCTCTAATGAGGTATCGTAACTATAAGGTTTACGACAAAAAAGGCACTGACTCCTACTCCAGTACTACGACATAGACCAACTGTTTGCCGTACACAACACCTAGCTGTAATCGGCACACAGATCAAACATTTTATTAATTAGTTATGTGCATCTTTGTCAAATTATAGTTCATATAAACCCTTGTTTTTCGTACACCATCGTCGGTCGCATTGACTCCAGCCCCTGAATTTCTGTGAAACGAGCCCATTCAATCTATCCCGTGAATGATCATATCTGTGGAATGTCAGGACTCATCGGAATAAGTAAATAATGCTCTCTTCTATTTTTCTTAACTTGTGTGGTATTCGTAAGTGCAATATCGGGTCTGTGTCCAACTTCTTCACTTGTTATTAAATCATAAGCGAATGTTTTGAAGCATCAAAAGTTTAGACCAATATATAAATCTTTTACCGTTCATTACTCATGTCCCTTAAGTTATTCAGTATGGCAGAGGGTTCTTCATTGCCACCTGCGGGACACCGCAGAGCGTCAGATTGCGCTTTGAAGTGCAGCCGATGCCGCTTTCGTAGGAGAGGGGAAGCTGCATGCCTGCAGTTTCGTACTTTGACCGATACGGCACATTCGCCCGTTTTCTTAACTTTCTCTTTTAAAACGCTTGGGCAGATGCTTCATAGCTCCATTCGTGTGCAGCTTTCTTCGCACATATTTTGTTGAAGAACTAGGCCACACCAAGGCCACTTCTCGAGCTGCTCTGCCCGTGTTTACAAAATGAGCGAGGTGCCACCCTTTCTTCGTATGATATACGAGTGTATGACAATTGAAATCATTGCTTAGGTCTTAGGGCAAAACTGCCCTTTCTTTTTCAACTCTTGGTCTGTTTTCTTCCCAATCACAGAACCCTGACCACGAGAGCTGGCAGTGCTGGAGTGTGAATGTAGTACTAGAAGTCAATAATACGCTGGTGGAGTTCAATTTGACGAAGTCTCCCCCGTGGCACACAAATTGGTACAGGATACAAACGGCCCCGTACATGCCAGTGACCATCCGACTGCGCCTAAGAACACCGAACAACAAATATAGTCCGTGGACCAAGACGTGGAACGTGATATCAGCTGAAGATGGTAAGTATTATAAAAAGCTTTTGGGGCTGTATATAACTACAACTCACAGCAATCTAAGCATGAGTTCAAGTTGCTTGTGATTTATGTGAGAAAGCAATGCTGTACAAGCCATAAACATAAACATATTTTCACTCATGGCAAGACAGGGGCCATATTAGCAAACATCTGAACAATTGAGAGCATATAATTATTTACGTCTAATTACCGGGAAATGCAGCTTTTCTGATGCATTTAATAAAGCAAGTTGTGGTTGGCAATTTGAATTCTTAATTTTTTCCCATTGAAGTGAACCACACACCATTGAGACTATCATTTCTTATTTGACAGATTATGCGCAGAGTCTGTATAAATGTCATCACAGTTCAGAAGCATGGAAGCATTAATGCAGGAATGACAAGAAAGATTTTCAGAGGGCTTGCTATTAGTATGGTTGCAAAATATTACTGAGGCACTTTAACAATGTTAATAATGACTTATGCTCTTTCTTACATTATGAGCTAATTCAAAGTACATTTCAGCGGTGTGCCCACGCATTACATTGAACAGTATCAGTTCCTTGCTGTCACTTTCAAAGCTCCTTTGAAACAACTCCAATGTAGGTGTACCTCCATTTTGTAAGCCAGGCATTTTTCGTTACAAATCAGGAAAACGTCATTTGCCAGTCCCAGTTATTAGAACTAATACTTGGCGCATTATTGTTTCCGATAGTGTGTCTACGTGGGTGTTCTGCCTCTGTGCATCTTAAAGTCGTTCTTCAGTTTTCTTTACGCAATATTTCCCATCTCTGACACTGGTGGCTAAGAAATGAACTTTTGAGAGAAGTTTCTCTTCCTGATTTTTTTATTCGACTGCACCAGTATACATCTAATCTTTATGAAACACTTCTCTATTGCGGCTGAGGTGCTGATTTGCAGTGTTTTTGAAAAACCCGAAAGAACTCGTGATGGTGGGTATAGTTTATTATATAAGGTGTATATTATTTAAAAAAAAAAATAGAGACCCCTGAGACATGAGTCAGTGTTGATAGGGGGTAATACATGAAATACCTCAGACTGAATTTGTTATTGTGCACTAGAATGTGGTAAACACATTTGGTACCTTAAGGAAGATTGATAAATTCTCGCTGGGAAAGCACCTTCAGTTTCTCATAATGCCTGATTGCCAGCGTCGCCTTTAATGACCAGCTATAAGAAAGACATGGAGGCCGAGCACTCTGCTTTTGCAAAAAGGCAACCAGTCATTCTGTGTCGAACTGAAAAAATCAAATGAGCATTAACGAGTGCATGCACAAATAAACATACTTCTGTGTCTAGAAATGCCTGACACCTTGTTACTTAGTTCACTGTTGGTTGGAATCTAAAAGTGAACTCATGAAAGCATGCGGGTGATTTAATTTTTTTTTCTAGCTCACAGAGCCCTATGACGCACATCACCATGCAACGTATCCCCGTTTCGTGGAAAGCAACACAGAATTCTTACGGCTACATGCACCCACAACTTTTCTCTCATGATTCACGATAAGCGCAAGAGATGCACACGCACACGCGTGCCTGATTCAGAGTCGTAGCTAAGTATAATTTAACACGAGCAAAAGTTTCTCTGCACGAAAATTTTAATATTTCATCGCTGCCTCCTTACACAAGTTTTCTACTATCGTCAGACGGCGCACGTTTGCGGGGGTGAAAATCTACAGTGATTAACTGAGTTCTGCAGCTTCTGCTAATTATTCAATCGTAATAAAAAAATTGTGGTGCCGACCAGGCTCATCACACTAGAAAATTCACCATGTGCCAGCCGGCCATGTTACTTTGTGCCCTTAAATGAGCGTGCTTCAAGGTCTTGCTTAGTATGATCATAATGGCAGATTCATGCATCAGTGAAAATAGCAGCATTCAAAGCTTAAATCATAACTTCTTGGTATCAAATGTAGCGCCTAAGGATACTACACAAAAGAAGGAGGACACAAAACAAGCAAAAAAAAAACAGCGCTTGTCCTGTGGTCTGCTCCTTTTGTCTGTCGTCTTTATGCTGTGCATGCACTTCACACCATAAGGCTAAACCTTTTTGCCCAGTTTTGTGCGCTGTGACATTTCGTAGCAGCTGTTCGAAAACGAATCATTTTTCGAAGCTCTCTCTGCTTTTCTCTGTAGCACAAAACAACTGAGAACACGAAGCGACAGTGGCTAAGGGCCCTGTCAATTCACGCATGTACCACGCATTATTACTGCAATAGTTTATGTTGTATTATGAATCATATATTCAGGACGCATGTATTTGTAAAGCACAAAAGTTGCTTTCACTACATTTCCAAGCAGAGGGTAGTATTGTCGCTGTATTCACAAGCATACGCATGGCTGTGTGGTATAACAACCACTTTCCCCACAGACAACCCAAGTTTCATCATCACACGAACCCATAATTTTTGTTTTCATTTTATTTGCATTTTTCTCGATTTTTCTGTAACGCACAAGATCACAATTTTTCGCTCAGAACCAATGACACCAATGACAACATCGACGTCTGAATTTCTGCGAAACGAGCTCTTTAAGGCTATCGATTTATTAATCATGTCACAGGGAAGTGTTCTTGGACCGTTACTATTTCTAACGTACAATAATGTCTTACCAGGTAATATTTACCCACCCGTGCTTTTTCTCAATGACTGCGTTATTTACCGTCCTATTGAAATTAATTACGATCACCATGTCCTCCAGAAAGACCTTGAACCTGTTTCCCTTTGGTGTGACACTTGGCTAATGAAGAATAACATTGATGGATGTAAAATCAATAGCTCTAGCTGGTAGCTTACTACATATACCTTTTTGTACCATATAAATAACACGAATATCGTGCATTACACACAATATAACTAGCTTGAGCTCATCCAACTTTTGCTCTTTATTGGTCAACTCATATTGATTGCAATTGCCGCAATGCTTCAAGATAATTGACCTGCATACATCGCAAGATATACCATTCTACTAAAGATTTCATAAACTAGCTTATCTAACAATTGTAAAAGCTGAGCTTAAGTATGGAGCATTCATTTCGTATTCTTATCGAAATATTGAATTGAAAACTATAATTTTTAAGTAGTGCATCTACGTGTTTCATTTCACGTCATCACTATTGTAACGAAAGCTTGATGATTGATTTAATTGATTTGTGGGGTTTAACGTCCCAACACCACCATATGAACATATATTGTAACAAAAGCCTTACGCAAATCAACTTGGCTTGCCTCTTCATCCTTTGCACAAACATTGGCATATAACCCTGCTATCATTGTTTCATAAATACATATAGATACCTTCATCATAGCAGTTTGATACTTCACCATATATAGGTCACAATGTTTGCATAATTAGCTTAATTTTAAGCACATTTACGAAAAAGCTCATTCATTTAACTTTTCCACTCTTCAAGATAACCTTGGGAATAACCTTTCTAACGCCGCTGATTTCGAGAATAACCAAAAAAAAGCTTCAGGCATCGATTAAACGCACAGTTCCAAAAATGACGTTTCATACCACTACTATTTCTAGTTTTTTTTCATAGCCTTCATTGGCATTTGTATGAAATTTTACGTTACACATTTTTTTTTTGCATTAGCAACCTTAGGTCGTGTTCATTCTGTAATTACATAGTTTGCAAATAACTGTGTCAAAACTTAGTGTGTAAATTATCTGTCTTGATTCAAAGTGTATTTTTTCTCTACCTCTATTGCTGTATAGCACATAATACAAGCAGATCTGATAATGCGCTCCCACTTCTATTACAGTAACATTTTTAAGTTGTTCTCATATACTTTTTTGTCTTGTTCTACCCTATACATGTTTAAAATTCTATATGGTATTGCCCCCCTTCCACAATGCTTCTAGGGGCCCATAAGGTAGTTTTATTTGATTAAACAAACAATAGGTACAGATAGCTAGAATTACTAGAGTTTAAAGCGTACACGCGAAATGCCATGAAGAGGTTTCACTAAATTATTTTGAGTTTCCTTATCGGTGTGGTAGGACTTTTACAAGCGTCATCAAACGATGGTTGCAAGTAGAACACTACAAGAGAACACCCAGTGCACTATAGTATTCCCTGTATGCTTTCCTTAAGCCCTTTCGTCCCTCACCTTTCGTTCTGCCAGTCAGAGAAAATAACAGTTATAGCATACAACATGCAAATTGTATCATTCGCTACATTGAGC